TCTCTCTCTCTCTCTCTCTCTCTCTCTCTCTCTCTCTCTCTCTCTCTTTCTTCTTTATTCATAGGCATTAAAGCTGTATTCTCTGGACATTACCATAGGAATGCTGGTGGATTTTGCAATGACCTCGACATGGTGGTGTCATCTGCGATAGGCTGCCAATTAGGCGAAGATACCCACGGACTTCGTGTTGTGGTGGTCACAGCTGAGAAAATTATTCATCGCTACTATAGCTTAAATCAACTAAGTAATGAAGGAATAGAGAAAGATCTGATGGATTTGATTAAGCAAGAGTAACAATTTTTCTTTAAGTGCCACTCATTTTTCACTTATATCTTTTGATTTTTCATTGAACAGCATTTCCAAGAAATGCTTCACTGAAACACAATAGCAGAGCCTTGAAGATTTGTGATTTGGCTATACTCATACATAAAATTTAGCTTTGTTCTCTTCTAAATAACCAAATGAAAGGCTTCCCCTGCTTTATGGAAGAGAATTCAGTGAATGATAATTATAATTAGAATCTGTCTTGCTTTGCTGTTCCTAAGGGTGTGTTTCTTGACTCTTTTATGGTAGCAGATTGTCAATGATTCCCCATTCTCCTTGATTCCAGTCAGATTCAGGTCTAATCCTTAAGAACACCTCAAACTACAGTTGTGACTCTCAAGATGTCAACGGTAATAAAGAAGTGTTTTATTCTTTTAGAAGTTTTTGGTTGCTTTCTTTTCTGGTGAAAACAACTGCCTCTGCTTCTTATTAGTACAAAGAAGCATGTATAATTACAAAAAAAGACCCAGATAACCAACCTGTAATAAGTTCTGACTATTTTATCTTCAATGATGATATATGAAATAGAATATAGCTTACATAAATCAGACCTTGAGTATATTTACCTTGAAGCTAAGAAAGCTATATTTTCGTGTAAATTGGCTTGTACATAAAGGAGGCATCAGGAAAAAGTAGATAGAAAACATGCCTTGCAAAGTCATTTAGCAACCAATTATATGCAATATATACGAGCATATAGTTTCATAAGTCTGAATCATCCTATTTATTAGACTTTGACTCTGTCTGCGTAGATAAAAGGAGTTTAGACAGTTAACCAAAAAAACAGGGAAAATTTATTTAAAAAAAAATAACAGCAGTATTTGTGTACTACCATTCTCCACATTGACTACTGATTAATTGTACTTGTTACTTGTTGAAATTTCTGGTGGGGGGCAGCTAGGTGGCACAGTGGATAGAGCACCGGCCCTGAAGTCAGAAGGACCTGAGTTGAAAACTGGCCTCAGACCAAACACTTGACACTTACTAGCTGTGTGACCTTGGACAAGTCACCTAACCCCAACTGCCTAAGCAAAAAAAAAAAAAAAAAATTTCTATTGGCAAAAATGAAGTGTATTATTCAAAATAGGCAATTTTTATGCAGGGAATTTTCCAAATAAATGAACTTAAATTTACTGGAGAAGCCAGTGATTCCTGAGCAATGTATTAACTTCATCCATGTATTCCATTCTGCTGCTATTATTGATTACCTGGTTACTCTGGTACTGAATGGAAGCTTCAAGTTGTCATTAAAAGTTATTGTCAGAGGCTGCTAGATGGCACAGTGGATAGAGCACTGGCCCTGGAGTCAAGAAGACCTGCCATTTGGCTTTGGACACTTACTAGGTGTGTGACCCCTAGGCAAATCACTTAACCCCATTGCCTCAAAAAAAAGAAAAAAGTTATTGTTATATAACATTCAGTCATTCTAAAGCCATAGAAAAAGCTCACCAGTTACAATTCAACTCCAAAGTCTATTACATTTATATACTTCTTATAAGAAAGTCGTGGTCAATGTAATAAAATCAAGGAAAAGTAAACAAGAATAATTTTTATGCAAAGGTATATGGAATAAAAGACAAAAGTTTATTGTACTTGGTAGATTGATGACTACCTAACATGCCATAAGTATATTCATATTTTGTTTTGTTTTCAGTTAGGAATTCTTTTGACCTTGCCACATACTTATTTTGGTCAATTTTTTCACCATTATCAAAAACAGAAAGTAAACCATATGTTAGATGCTTTTGAGATTTGTGGTAAGGTAGGAGAAAGCAGGTTAAATTTTCAGGATGATGAGAAGAAACATCGCTGTTCACCAAATGGGAAATGGTGTTTGCTTCTAGATGGATAAACAAGGTAATGGGAGAACCTAAAAAAAAAAAAAAAGTTTGGTGTTGATAGCTCTAAGGAGTCTTTGTTTGCTTTTTTTGGTGCATGTTTTCATGGCCTTAGGCGATTTGAATTTGCATGACCCAGGAACCAATTACTAGTAACTGCTTTAATGTAAGTGAGAGATTTAGGATCCTTCTAATCTTCACTGACCAAGTAGAACTGAGTTTCCACACCTTGGTTGGAACCTAACTCAAGTATGTGTTTGTTCTGGGGCCCAAAGACCATTGCTGGGAAGCCCTCATGCCATTATGGTATGACAGCTCTTAGGGAAAATGTAATAATGCAAATAAGTCCCCTGTTCAATCTCTTTGTCTCGGGAAGGACAGATTGTTTTGATTTAAACAAAAGAGTTAAACTGAGACTTGAAAATCATTCTGAAGCATTTGGCCATGGATACAGAATTCTCCTTGTCGACCAATACTTAATAGAATCAGACTTCTCACTGCAGGTTTTATGAATCTTCAGATTATATTCTATTCTCTAGCCAACCTGTTCCTTAAACACTCATGTGCTTTCCTGCCTCTCCATTTTTGCTCATGTTCTTTCCTCTTGGAATACCTTTTCCCTGTGTCTCTCACTATCTTGAGAAGTGTCACAAAACAAAATTAATTTTAATTTAAAAATAAATATGTCATTTAATATTTTTATTTGTGGAGGAAGAGGGACTTGGAAGTGGCCAAAAAATTATTTTTAATATAACGATGGGGTGTCAAAATTCCAGAGTGTGTAGAACAAATGATTATCTCAACGTAAGTTTTCTTGAGAACATCTAATGTCACTATAATAGAAAATATCTCCTGAAGTTATTCCATTGGCATTAAAATGGAGACTGAAAATAGCATTAAGATTTTACCTTAAAATTTTCAACTGTAGGATTACCCACTGCTAAGAGAAAGTAGGTTAAGAGGAAAAGTGTTGACTTCAAGCCTAAATATTATGACAGCTTTGGAGAAAATGGATTTTTTTCGTAGAAAGATGTCTAGTTACAAATCATATGTAATTGGATTTAGACATAAACACACGCACACACACACGCGTTTTTGGTCCAGACCTGAGATTTCATCAGTGTGGGAAATTACTGATTTGGAAACTCTTTAGAACAATGTAGATCAGCAGTATGTCTATAGCTTATTATCATAAAAACCTGCGCGGGGTACCCAGTGGCTAAGCAGCTCACTCCCAGTCACATCGCTCATGAGTGTCAGGCAGGACAGGAACCCAGTTCTTGCAAGGCTGATCCCTTAATTCACAATGTTGTTTCCTTATGTAGACACATATATGTAGCACAAGCAATATAACTTATGTTTTAAGGCAAAAAAAAAATTTATGGGAAAGGCAACAGGAGCACCAGTCACATTTACCTAACTTATCCCATAAGTAGTAACTAAAATCTAATTAAGTTTCGAAGTCTAGATATTTCATTGATTTTTTAAAAATGATTTAGAAGTAAAACACTGTGTATTTTTGTAATACATACTATTTTTCATATAACATTTAAAATTTTACTTGCATTAGAACAGATCCTATGATACCTATTTTTATTCATGCATTCATTTGACTTACATTAACAACCTACTATGTGTAATACACATAACTTTTAAAACTGCTGCCTTATGACGTTATAGATGCCGTTGGCATTAATTTTTTATTTGTAGGAAATTGCAGGAATATTATTTTCTTAGAATAATAAAGACTTGTCATCTTACTAAAAAGTCTTTAAAGGAATGAATTCTCCTTTTCCATTGATGGATTTTTGTTTTTCTTACTTTCTTTAGTCCAGATGGCATAGTTGTTGGTTTTTAAAATTTTTGTTTAAAGGCTTAATCTGGGTAGATAAAATTGATGGCATATAATCAAAAATTTTACATGCCATCCTACTGTAATATTTGAACATTAAAAAGTAATTTTATTGGTAAAGGACATTATAGCAATGTCATTTTCACACAAAGAAAAATATAGAGTAGAACCAAAACTCTATAAACTTTAATCCAGCTTTCATATTACTTGATACTACTAGTAAATTCTACTAAGGTGTGACAAAGGAAATATGATATTATTGGAGCTTATGATATTTCATTCTGAATTGTATTCAGTTATGGATTAGTAATTTTTCAATAAAATTATAGACTTATTAATTGATAAATATCCCATAGTGCACTTTTAACTGAAGTACTCAGTTATTTGTGGTTCATAAGAAAGTAGATATGACTTTCTGAATTTCAGCATATTGTACCTTTTTATTGTTTGGCAAAATACAATGATATTCCCACCATCTGTTTAGAATTAGGAACCATCTGCCTCTCGCTGAATCCTTATTTTCAGTTATGCTCTACTGTATAGACCTAATGAAGAATAAATGGAGCCCAGTCTTAAAGGTCACAGTCTTTGGATCAGACATAAAATCATAGGATTTTAGAAATGGAAGGGACTTTAGGGATTAGATAGTCCACACCCTAGTTTTTATAGATGAGGGAACTAGATATAAGACTTGCCCAAGGTCAGAAGAGTAGGTAATGGAAAAACTTGAACCCTAAATCTCCTGAAACATAATTCTTTCCATTACACGACAATATATTTGAAAGATCGCCTCAATTTAAAAACAAAACCACTGCTGACAAATAATTCCATTACACCATATTCATTACACTATATGTTATATATATTACACATATATTTTATACATATGTATATATGCACTACTGCAGATTTCTTGAAAGCTGTGTAAATAAGAGAAGTTAATGATGGCTCTGTCACCATTGAAACAAGTTTTAAAATATCAATTCTAGAATATTTGGAAATTACCCCAAAACAAGCCATGTGAGTAATAGTGATAACTATTTCTCAGTAAGCAATAGTTGAAAAAAAAATTTTGTACATATATGAAGACAGTATTTTCTTTTTATCTATAGTATGCCCTGAAATAGTGTCAGGTTACAACAGTATGTGTATAAAATTATAATGTCGCATTAATTTTTGAAAATGCCACTTTTGACATAGACAAATGACTTGGAAATGACCCTCATGTTAGTAACCAGTCATTTGTGTGAAAATGTAAACACTTTCATTTTCCATACTGTTAAATGTTCTTCATGTCCATCATTCTGTTTTAGAAGAAAATATTCATGAGGTATTGGCATGAGACTTTTGAGGAGTAGCCTGCAATCTTTTGTTTTCTCTCTGTCTCTGTCTCTCTCTCTCTCTGCTTAATTTTGAAATTGTCACTATATTATGCCCAGGAAGTTGTATTACATGGCCTCTGAGGTGCCTTCCAACTGTAGATCTATAAACATAGTGCTATTTTCTCTAAGCCCATCACAAGCTCAGCAAGGTAGATCAATTAAGTGTACCAGTGAAAATTTGTTTCTGATTACCTTTGGATGCATGCCTCTCCCAGAAGAACCTGTAAGCTATCCTTCTACCTAGCTGCACTTTATTTATAAATACTGTTTTCATTTATCAGAGAATGCTAGTTACAGGAAAGATCAAA